TTTTTTTACTCTTTTAAAAAGAAATCAGGACAAATAAGTGCTAAATAAGAGTATTTATACTGAAAATTAGTGATTGAAGTCGATTGAAGTGGATTTTTTTTAATTTATCGAGAATTTCAAAAATACCCTAAAAAGTCACTTTGGCCATTTTCGCAGCCAGCCCTTCATTGTCAGGCATGAATACATTAAGGCTGACTTAGGTGGCAAAATGTCTGGTTTACCGTCTGACTTAGACGCCAAAGCATCTAGTTTACTGTCTGACTTAGACGGTAAAGTGTCTGGTTTACGGAATGTCTTGTGGCAGAGTGAATGTTCGTTTATATTGGTGTAGAATAGAGTGAATGTTCGTTTATATTGGTGTAGAATTGTTTATTTCAACAAAGACGGCGAGAACCGTCCACACTATCCTGGCTTGGTGACGCTTATGGCGAATTACGAGCCGAACATAATTTTGTAAGAGCACATGATTGACAGCTATGTTACTATAATATTGTGATATCTGATTGGTCAAGAAATGACTACCTCAAGTGGGTCGAATGTCACACAACCATGACACGATTCCCGGGTCCAATCATGCCCAATCTCGTACCCAGCGCCCTTGTCCCTCTTACTGCGCATGCTCGACGAAAAACAAGAGCTCTGGAAATATCAAACADCGGAKGRCAGAAACTGSRTATTTCACCCATGCGCAGTAGAAACCCGATCTAACGGCTTTATTTTACTGATTTTGCTCAAGAAAATCGGCTAAATGAAAACCTTCGAAGTCAGAAAAGGGATTTTTTTAGACCTTAGATGATAAATCTATCTTCTTCGAAGCTATTTTGATATCTATTATGATCAGATAGTAGCAGACAGTGACGGTTAGTGATTATCATGGCGTGACAGTTCGTCACCTCGTTGTATTCCATTTTATACTTAATTGATCATATTACTCTCAAATTCCTACTTCATAGACTTAATAAATGCTTTTAAAGGAAGAATTCAAGGTGAGGTAGCGAAATACAGAATGATTTGAGTGTTTTTCTCCGTGATATTTTCACTTCCGGCGGCAAGCTGTTTATTTTATGAGCCAATCAGAGAGCGAGAAATTTTCGAAATTTCCAGAGTCACTGTTTTTCGTCGAGCCTGTGAGCCTGTGAGCCTGCGAGTAAGAGGGACAGTGGCGCTGGGTACGAGATTGAATCATGCCCTGGCCACAGTCTAATTTACTGTCTGTGACTTAAAGCAACAGTAATGTCTCAATAAAGTCTGCTTAACTGATAGTCTAAGATAGCTAAAATGTCTGGTATATTGATAGCTGTAAGATAGCAGTAATGTCTGGTAAACTGCAATTGAAAAATAGCAATAATGTCTGATTAACTAACTGATTGACTAATTTATTCATGCTTGAGAAAATACTTTTCAAGATACTTCCTGAGTGGGGTGGGGCTTATCTAGGAGTGCAGCTTATACATGAGTAAACATACAGTAGCCTTTTTTCCCAGGAATTTAGATTTATTGACCATCAAAATTCAATATTGACAGTTCATGCCAAACCCTGGGACAGAAACAACAGGACAAAAACAAAATATCATGAATTTAGCACATTACCATCCAAATTAACATAACCTTTTAAAAAAACTAAAACTTACTTGTTTCTTTTTTTTTTCAGCAAGTGCTTCCACTACCAATACAGGTATCATGTAATACTTATACTACAAAAAAA